CCTATGGGCCTCCACGTCATGCCTCTGGGACAGCTCCACATTCCTTGCCTTGCACACTGTACTATGCCACTTGCTGTTACAGCATGGCCACACTATAATCCCTTAATACACGTCACAACCCGAGGCTTCGTACCCCGATCCCTTCACCACCACAGCATGAGGCAATATACGAACGCACAGACTGCGGTGGTGCATCGCGCACGGGATCGAAACGAAACTCAGCACCGTTCACGATCCTACACACACGTCACAATTGTCTAGTCAGTATACAGTTTATTATGCTAATCAGGAGTAACTGTGGGGGGAGGGTCCGGATTAGTGAAGAAAACGGTTGCCCGAAAAGACAAGATAAATAAATGGGAAATTTAAACTTATAAGCATTGCTGATGAAAATAAATAATAAATAAAAAGCTAAATACATTTATTTAGAAGTTGTACTTGTTTCTGAACGTAATGATGCAGGTCTGAAGAGACTGTCAAGTTGTGTCTCAACAGACAAGTGGCTCATCTGCCTCCCTAAATGCTAAGTATGTACCCAACTGTACTTCATATCCTGATAGGGATTAGCTGTAACCGAATTAGCGACGGTTTACTGTATTTAAAAACAATCGTTTCGGAATCTGGAACCGCTTCCGTCGTTAAATGTAGGTGGTGGGCCCGTTAGACGGTTTCTTTTATTGCTAGTGGGGTGGGACTAAGTCCCTTGTACTGCGGCCACTTCTGGCCAATTGTACCAGCCCCAGATGATAGGTGAGGGTGATTGTGAAGCTATTGGTGGAATGAAGATTGGCAGGGGAAACCGAAGTACTTGGAGAAAACCTGCCCCAGCTCCAATTTGTTCACCACAAATCCCACTTGACCAGACCCGGGATCGAACCCGGGCCGCCGCGGTGGGAAGCCAGCGACTAACCGCTTGAGCTATGGCGCGGCCCTCGTTAGATGGGTTAGTCACGCTCAATGGGCTGGCCAGAACTTCTTTCGTTACCCAGTCATCCCAAGTAGCTCCTTCTGACGTGTTGGATCTATCACTCGCTCACTTGCACCTGGCCATGGCAGCCCAACCAACTCCCCAAACCATGGACAGTTTCCAACGCAATATTTATATAATGCATGCCTCTAATGTCACAAGCTCATGAATATGGGTCAATTTATAAGTTAACATCAATTGCACGCGATGTTTGGTGCTGCCCACAGGACACTGCGCCACTGCAGTGAAATCAGCGCGTTTATCGATTTGTGTTCTCGTCAATCATAAACAGATTTGTCCCCAGAGACATATATATTTAGCCTCATCAACTGATTCAACAATTCTTTGATTCACTGCTCCCTCGAGGAATTTAAATTAACCTAACACAAACACAAAGCAGTTAAGGTCAGATTTAACGATCAATTAGGCAGGAATAAAACGAGGCGCTCATAGCACGACGGTAACTATATGTACCACATGCTCTAACATCAGTAAAACTCTGCACTCTGTCCGCTTTGTGTTTGTGTGTTTCATGCGGTTCTCACAGTAAACAGCGACTGTTTCCCCAAACAGCATTAACCGGCTGGTCTCTGCAGTGGAGACGCACTGTTTTTCCTTAGGTATGTACTGCATATATATATACACACACACACGAACTTCAGGCTTCGGGGAACTAAAGGACAAACTCATCACACAGTATTCTATATAAACCTGTAGTTCCCACTCCAAGAATACATACATCCTTGTCATTTTAAATTATTTTAATGATCTTGACAAGTGTGCCTTTCATTTTGAGAACCGACTGAAATCTCGAAACACACTCCGAGCAATACGCAGAGATGTAAGACAAAATCAGGCAGGAAACAGTTACCATTAACATACAGATGGCTTAAACCTGCGACAGACAGACACACGCATACTAGTGATCCTCCACAAAGCCAATCAGTTTATGTGACATGCGCAATGGCTACTGGCCATCATGGTGGCCGGAAAAGAACTTCAGCTTTGGCTATGACCGCTTCCTTCCAAATCCTTTACGATTCATTACTCGGTAATCTGAGGAGTGCTGAAAGCGGCGTTCCCTCTTCCCTACAACATATTACCCAACCGGTTTTCGTATCGGAGTGTTTTCTGTGAGGTACGAGCCGAACCGTTAAATACATCGACATTAAACTTGAGGCTTCACACGGATAATCCCGTCTCCTGGCCAGCCAATTCCGAGACGTGGGCGCCGGCGAAATGCGGAGCTTTGGAAGCGTGGCCAGTCGGCGCCTCCGTCTCCATGGCAACATGATGTTTATGATGACTGAACTGGGACGGCATGAATCCGATCTGGCCCTCAAGACGAAAGTACCCCTCTGTCTGCTAGACTTCACAAACGATACATGCTGTCAGGTCCGCTGGAGCTAGCCGTCCGTCCGTCACGTAACGCGTAGCAGCATCCGTTACTTTGAGGGACGAACACGATACACATAGGATCGTCTGTGTAGCGCCGTGTTGTCCCTTGAAAGTCAAGCGACGTTTCAAAGGAACATATCGTCTCCATCTTCAAGGTCAAATAAGCAGAACAAGATAGCGTGAAAGCAGCTGGTCCCACTAACACCGGGCTGAAGGAGCACAGCACCAAGTTGGGGCACCGCATGGGTCCCATCCCAACAATACGAACAGGGAGGATGGCAACCTCTCGTCTGCTCCCTGAGAGAGAGTAGGAAGGAGATCTGGGTTCTCTGCGGGCTCACGCAAGTCAGTGCACACTCACCAGCCATCCACCCTGATGTCCCGGGTTCCTGGCCAACACACCCTTACGCTTCTTCCCAGACATCAAACCTCCCGCTCAGCTCGGTGCCGTGCGAACCCAGCGACTTCATTCTCTTCCACGGGCGAGCCAATGGGAACTGAGCTCCACTTTTCCCCATTTCCCTCCTGCCTCCTGCATTATCCGAAATTTCCGACTATAAGATTACTGGGAAACTGGGTTCTACACCAGTCCGCGATCTGCACTTCCGTAAGTGTATGTGGGAACTGCGCAGGCGCAAGCAGAAGCCACACAGAATCATGAGAAAGAAACATGTTCGCGGTATACGGCAAGGTGAAGCCAGACTTTGCGGCGGTCAAGCATATCAACGTTCAAGAGACTATCTGCCGATTAAGACGGCTAGCCACTTGTTTTCATGCTGTCTTGCTCGGCTTATTCGACCCTGAAGATGGAGGTGATATGTTCCTCCGAAACGTCGGCCGACTTTCAACGGACGGGTGGGTCACACAAGCCATGGTGCTGTAAGCTGGTATAAAACCGACAGCATCAATAGCATCAAGTGCTGACCAAATGGTGGCCCCGTCGGGACTGCGCCAAGCATGAAGCGAATTACATGAGAACCGAACAGTCACAACAGACGGAAGGCTTAGTAGAACGCACTGCGCATGATTACAGTTGTACGCGTACCTCCAATGCGCCATACGCCGTTGTAGTGTTTCGGCGAGGCCGTCTTTTACTTACGTTATCTCAGTCATCTGTTCTCGCGGGAACACAGGCGATACACCGGGGCGGATGCAAACTGGTGAAAACGGCAGTAATTGGAACATGGAGAGAGAACTGTCACCTGGATCCGGTAACCATGGCAACACTTCGCAAGGGTTATCTGTTGTTGTATAAACAAAACTAAGCCTCCACGCATCCCCATAACAACGGCTGTCTCAGGGACATTAATGGCACTTCATGCAGCTGCCTGTGTGACCTTCACCTCAGCGGGCCGCGCGGGTGACGCTGAAATCTGACGATTTACTTAACTGCGACGGGCGAAGAGTATGGACCGATCGATAGCCCAGGCGATGACTTATTTTGGAAGCGAAATGTCACACAAACTACGAATCGCTGATTAAAAGCCATTAACTCCAAATCAATGTTTCAGTCACTTTAAATTCAAACGAGGAATTGCTGGGAAGTCACGTGGGACTTAGTCCGAACGTCCGCGTTTCCATTTCCTGGCGGAATTTCCATCACTGATGTGTCTGGAACAGTCCCCGTCCAGGCACATTCCATGCTGGGTAAATGCAGCCTGATCTCGCAGCTCACCCTCACAAAGTGTCGGGGTTGAGTCTGTGCCTCTCCTACTTCTTATCCGTGGAAGAAATACCCGGTTCGAATCCTGGCCAGGAGGCCGGCTAAAATTACTGAGGTATTCCATGCTTTTCCTCAGTACCGCCAACCAAATTTCAGGATTCCTCCTCGTATCGGACGACGAACTCTTCCTCACACATCCTTCGAAAATCATCATTCACCAATCATCCTAAAATTCTGATCTGTTCGCAGCAGTAAGATAAACCATAAAGAATATGTGGAGCTTCAACTCCACTTTCATGCAGTCCCCGTTATAACGCGGTTAATTAACGGCAGCGACGGACTCGTTTAAACATCGCCCTGCGTGTCATAACTTTCAGACGCCAGTTTCACATTGATGGCGCCGACGCACATCGGGGGACACAGTGAACGCACGCCTTCGCGTTGTGGTGCTTGGACACAGGGACAACTCACGAAGGAGCATATGCGCAACAGGCCATATGGATAATCAGGTGGCGCAGATTGATAATGAAAGGGCCGAAAGGCGTACGAGAGCATCAAATTGTCAGAAGGTTCTTAGGCCCCGCCTGCTAGCCCCTCTGATAAGGGGCAGTGAGAAGTGAGGGGAGGGGCCGCGAGATTTTGGTTTTATGAATTAACGGTGAATTGCAAAACCTGGAAAAATAAGAGGAATAATTTTGGAGAATTCAACCCGGGAGGGTTACTATGGGTGCCCCTCCCAAGTACTATTTCCAGAGAGGGGAGGGGTAGCCGAAAAATATGATCACAAATTTAATTTAAGCTCTTTAAGGCCATTTTTTGCTAATTAAAAATATATCCATAAGCTTTATATTAATATTTGGTACAATTCATTCTGATTTCCAATTTTGATGTCCCCCTAAAATCCAGGGTGTAGGATATCTAGTTTACCCTTTCACGGTGCATATAAACAGCATTTGAATACCCAGTCCGTACCTCACAGGAAAACGACGATCAGGCGGCTAACGCCACCTGCAACACAAGGAGACTCTGTATCGGTCCATAGAGTTGCTATTATAATTTGGAAGGCCACATGAGAGAGAAACTAAATGGCAGAATAGACAAAAGAAGCAGGCCACGAGGGCCACACTGCCAATACAAACATGTAAGGCAACGAATGTGACCACAGGTATGCTCCAAATATACTCTGAAAGTCTGTTCTTTGCTGCGTTCACACGTCACTGGTCTTGAACACAATTATCGGTCTCGTAGCTGCACTGCACTGCACTGTACACACACAAATTAGTTTCTGCCTGTATCTCCGTTAACTATTCACCACGTCCAAAACTAGTTCAAACATTCTCGATTGCGCTGACATCTACATCTTACTTGCGCATGCGTACGTAAGACCTATGGCATGTTCACAAAGGTGTAAGAAAAAATATGTGCCCACCGGATTCGCTAAGATTGTCCTCGTGTAACAAACCAGAGAACCACGGAAAAAATCGGAAATTTTGAAATTGGGGCGTTTCACTAAAATCTGTCCACATTTTCCAATTTCCATTACAACAGGACAACGATAATGGACGTTTTACCTGAAGACGTAAGCGCGTTTCTGCACTCATCCCAAGCGCAACTCTCTGAATGTTTGTCGGAACGGAAGCCGTGGAGAAAACTGAAACACGCATTTTATGCCAAATACACTTTTTTTGTAAATCGTACAGCAAAAAAAAAAAAAATAAATAAATAAAGCTATCCCTGTAACAGGATGTGGAGGCCAACAGATTTGTGAGACGTCGAGAATCCCACATTTTCGAGAAAATCGAGTCACAGATGGCGAAGTTGCCTGCCTTAAGGGCCGGCAGTCGCCCTTTAGCCCCAGGAAGATTCATGGTATTTATTTCTTCTACAGGCCGAATCGACTCCAGGGCCATTGTACGGCTGGAAGGATTAGGTCAATTGAAATAATCCGATGACCTCGTCGGGAATCGAACCAGCGATCATCCGGCTTGTAGCACCTCAACCAACTACACTACCAAAATCTTACAATTTCTGACAAAATTAAACGAAATGTAGCGAATCCCCCCCCTTTCGGACTTCTTAGGGCCCCCATACACACACAGAGTGGCCTCCAGTTCGGCTGCACAGTTGAAGACTGAAAGGCAAAACTGACGCGTGTGGTGCGGCCGGCCGGCCAATCGTTTGGACTGTTGGCCTGTGGGAAACCCGTCAGTCGGTCAGTTCTGCCGGCAGGACCGTAGCACGTAACGTGTGTGACTCAACATTATAGGCTGGAAGACCGTGATTGTGGCATGAAGCCTGCCGCTTTATCTGCGCGTGTATGAGGAAAGGGAGGGGGTAAACTGTCACAGTTTTGCCTGTAAGGTCGATCGGAAAGCCAAACTGTGTGTGTATGGGGGGCCTTACACTATGCATACTCTCAGCTGCATGTGTGTGACAACAGACGGGTTCTGCATTGATGACTCGATTTACTGCATTGACACATAACGCCTGACTGCACTTTGCACGTCACTGTTACACACACTACACACTAGTGTCTACAGTAACGTCTTCACTACTGTTGCCTGGTAGCGGCTTCCAACGGTGGACGCTCCTCTGGGTTCCTGAGCTGTCCCCGACTCCTGCTATCAGTTTCTCACTGCAACAGCTGACAAGTCAGCCCCATCGGTTATCTGACTAACTTGCTCACTCACCAACAGACTCACTACTGACTCCAACTGTTGCCGTGGAAACATGCTTGTTTGAGGAGCCGTCAGTTAGTAACGGCCGTTTCATAGTAGCTTCTTTCACGGTCGTTGCCTAGCAACGGTCTACACGCCACAGTATATTTACCAATTTCTTGTACATGTGTAGGTTTATCGATGAGGCGACCATGAGGGCTGCCACACTAATACTCTTCAAATAACTGTGACTGCCCCCTATGAAGCAGGTGGCACTGTCATCCTCTACCAACACTGCCGGTTATAGTCGGTCATGATACTTGCGTATTAGAGGGGGACCCAAACCACGTCAGCGCTGTCAACCGCACAAGTTATCTGTCAAAACAAAACCAGGACTCGAACCCTTTCAAAACGTTTCATAAACAAAACCAAAAGCCTAACCTTACGGACTTGTCGAAGGCAAATCCTAAGATTGCGTCTTTTTTTTTTTTTGAAGGGGGGGGGGGGCAAATGAAGCAAAGCTAACGGACCGGGCCACATGACGGCAAACTTCTGAGGTGGATCACCGCTGATACGTGAGCAAGCACCCACTTCACCTGAGGTTCAACAAATGGCGTTGGGCTGCCATTTTGTGGGGGCCGCGCGATATGAATGGACCGACATCTGACTCTTTGAGTCACATCGCTTCACGTCAGACTGGCTTTCCAATCCTGCCGTAATCTGGCAAGAGCCATCTCGTGTCTGTGCAGCGTATCTCACGGACGCTGTCAGTATGCAAAGTAAAGTTGTCCCTGTGCTTAACTACACCAACAAGACGTATGGGGGAGTGGATGTAGAGATCCACGTTTTCTTGACCACGGCACTAGATGGAAATGAGGGGTCAGCTTGACGTCCCGACCGCTTTATCTTCCGGAACCCACTGAATTGGAGGCTGGGTGGAACCCAGAACCGGTCTGGACGACTCAGAGAACAAAATTCTTACCTCTACGCAGATTCGAACTCCGAACCCTCGGCCGTCCAGCCCGTAGCCAGTCGCTATATACAGTGTATATCGTCGAATGATGAACTGGAAAAGATCTGGAAGGAACCAGTCGTGGCGTTACAGTGCCTCCGTCCAGCCGTGCGGAAGAAGACAGCATTTCCCGGGCACCCTGTGCCGAAGGTATGTGTACAGCTTGCAATTCCACGCTCTTGGGGAAAAGTGGCATAACTCCGACCTGTCCTTGCTGTCCTCGCGTTCCCCTGAGGCTCACAAGTCCAGTCAGCTCTTAAGCCTTATGTTCGCTAAGTCGTTTATGGTTTCCAAGCAACCAGCCATAGGAAACGGCCAAAATGGGAGAGCCGCACACAGACAGTGTTCAGACAATTATGCTTCGTACGAGGCGCCACCACACAGCGACATCTGTCCGACATCCTCTCGTGTGCGCACCCGTCCCGTACATCGCGCTCAAACAAGGGTGCCGAATTTCATGGCTCATCACACAGAAAGCTAAAAAACATTCCCGCACGCCCCCTCCAGAAACATGCTGATTCACATTTAAAAACTTCACATTCATGCCAAAAGCCTCCCACCTCAGACGTTCGCGCTACTACGAGAAGTAATATACAGAGCACATACTGAGAACGGAGAAAACTGCAGCCTCATAATTTGTACTGTTCACCAGATACATTACTATCAGCGTGCTTGAATGAAGGGGTGCGAGATGGGCGGCGATATACTCATCTGAAACCTGTCCCACTTCAGAAGTTCGCACGGGTGGTGACACACAGTCACAGCGTGCCCACAAAGGCAAAAGGTAAACTCGAGCCTGTGCTCCATCAAGCACCACGCCATGAACAAGTACGAGGGAGTGGAGGTATAGCTCCACGATTCTTAACTTCGGCACTGGGTGGAGGTGAGTGATGAGCCTGCACATCAGCTGGGTGGGTGGGTGCCACAGCCGCAAACAGCGCGCTTTACATACAATCCATCGGTGCAGATGTGCCACATCGCTCCACAAATAAATATTTCGGCGTGTTGCGACACATCGCGTGCCAGCAGCGCTACGCAACCTTGACAGGACGATCCCATGGCGTGCAGGACCCTGGCAGCTCAACGCCACCCATCTTCGTGTAGGACAGGTAAACCCCAGCCGAAAAAAAAAAGCACCAAAATGGACTTAATTCCACATAAATTCGCAAGTCAGGAGAAATCTGAAAGCCACAAAATGGACTCACTTTCAGCTGCCTCAACAACACACGTTCTGATTTCCGTGGGCGGAGACAGACGCCAAGTTCCAGGCGTTGTAAAGGGGCAGACGCTTGGTGTCAGCACCCCCACCCACCCTTCCCGGCATTAAAAAAGAGGAAATATAAGCCAAATACTGACATACGCACATTGTTAAACTACTTAAAAATCTTCTATCCAAAATATTTTGGGTAAATTTGTAAAAAATAATCTTAAACAGCTTAAACGTGTGTAAGGAAATCTACTTACCCCCCCCCCCCAGGGAAAGGGCGCTCCTGAGCAAGTGGGCTTCACGACTGCTCCTCATGCATGCTACACGACCAGTCGCTTCATAACACAAACATGTTACACCGTCAGTTACAGTATCGACTGAGCCGATCGGAAGCCGAGGCTTCATATTCATTTATAGGCAGGAACGAAACTTCGCAAAACTAACATGACGCCTTCCTGCTCAGTTCGCGGCGCGCCCTGAAACCGGTTTCACCGTCTCCTGTACCAGATTCACTCGCCAAGTTTCGTGAATCACCCTGTATGGTAGATATCGCACGCGAACATGCGAAAATTCGATCAACTCCGCCCCTGGTTGCAATGTTACGTCACAACGTAATTCAGCAAGTCATCAAATTTCCTTCTGCAAGTCACGCTGACGAGGCCCCCCGCGTGTGCGACCCGATGTGACCTCGGCGCCAAGTCTGCAAGTCCGCTACAGCGAGACATGGCCACGTGGTTCCGCTGCAGCTGAAGGGAATGGACACGGATCGCGAGCCGCCACTCTCAAGAAGATTCTGCACATGTGCAGCCATCAGGCTCGCCTCCGCCTGTCGGCAACTCGAGAACCGGCGTTCATGAAAATTCACACTGGGGAGTGTGACACATTCCAATTCTTGTTACGCCGAACAACAATGAGAGACACCGAGGCACACACGCCAAGAAGGCGTTTCGCACGCAGCAGATTTTATTCTCAACGCGCTCCTCCCCCAGAAGTCGTGTGGGTCTCGAGTTGTTTCAACAGACGAGAACAAACCCTCAGGAATGTTTACTCTCTCCTACCATTTTCGCCTAACCGCTTACTTGCAGCCGTTGGAAAACACACGTCTGAGAAATGTGCACGTGAAACATCTGTTAACACTTGTTAAACCACAGTGGTTACTTACATCCTTCTTACATGAAACGTTGGGAAATACGTGTACGTTCGCCTTGTTGTTTTCCTGCATGAATTACTCTTCACAGTCTGTCGCCATGGTAACCATAAAGTCTGTAAACATTTCGTAAGAACTTTTCAGCTGATTCACGGTTTCCTGGATTGAACAATCTGCCCATTCACCCACTGT